ATCTCCTCTACTCTTGCTCCTTTCCCTCTGATAGCCATTATCTTTTTTTTTTTGGGTGGTTTCAAATTTTTATTTCTTCTATCACATTTGCATAGTTGTTTTTGTTTGTTTGTTTGTTTGTTTTAGATATTTCTATTCTGCAAATGCATGGAACTATCCATAATCTGTCTTTCATTTTTGACTGATTTCACTCAGGATAATCACCTCAAGGTTCATATTTTTTTTTTCTTTTGTGCTATTTCATCTTTTATCACAGCTGTGTAATATTCCATTGACTATGTATTCCAATCTCTCTATCCATTCGTCAGTAAAGGGCACTTGGATTGATTCTATAGTTTGCCTGTTATTATTTTCTTTAAGGCATAGCTGGGTCTTCCTGAGCCCCCTTCCTGCTTTTCAACTTGACTTTCTATTTTCATGGTGTGTTCTGTCACATTCTCAGCCCGCTGCTAAGTTAGAAACCTTACAGTTATTCCTGATTCTCATTTTTCACACTCGGTGAAAGTAGCTCATATTTGTGTTAGTTTAAGACTTCTTCACCTCTCACTTTTAGCACTAATTACTTAAAGTATCTTTCTGTTTCTCCTCTTATTTTCTTGCCAAGTCCTATCCATCCTTCTCTAGGAGCAGAGAAATCTCTCTAAAACAAATATAACTGTTTAATACTTGTAGTTTTCAGAGGTTCCTATTAGGAGCCCTGGGGTCTGTAGAGGCCACCATGAGTTGAAAGAACATAAGGGAGAGAGTGTGGACAGAGATGAATGAGGATGATAGTCACTCTTCCTGCCTGTCCCCTGCTCCCTCCCTGAATGCCAAACACATCAGCTTTGCTTTTGTTTCTCTCATCCTGCTGTGGTAAAACACACCTTGTTTTTCCATGAAGTCCCAGGTCTAAGTGAGACATTAAGAGGCTCTCTATGAACGATCCCTGCTGCTACCCCAACCTTATTGTATTGCCCCGCTGTATACCCAGCACTTCATAAGCGTGTATGTTGTGTTCTTCCCTGCTCCAGTCCTGCTCAGATTTCCCTGCCTTATCTCATGCTCTTTGCTCTGCCCAAGTTACTGTTTCATTCCCTCATTGCCTGGGCTAAATCCTAATGGTCCCTCCAGATTTAGCTCAGGCATCATCTCCAGAAATGATTTCCTGTTGCTACTCTCAGGTGCAGTTGGTAGCCCTCGTCAGCGTACCAGAGCGCTCCACGCTCATCTACATCACCACCCTGATAGTAGAACCTTCTGTGCCACTCTGTCTTCCCTGGCCTGACACTGTCCTCTGGGAGGGCTGGACAGAGATTTTCTTGCTTCTGCTTCCTGCTGTCTCCAGTCCAGTTGCACCTTGCCTGGATGTGGTACAGTCATGGTGAATATTCATTGTATTTTCTATCTTGGTGACTTGACAAGATGAAAGACAGACATCTGAGCATGATTTTTTTTTTAAAGATTTATTTATTTATTCATACAGAACTGGGGTACAGGCCAGAGATGCGGAGGGTGAGAGGATTCACCAGAGACAGAGTGGGGAGCAGCAGGCGGGTCAGGAGAGGTCTGCCGCGCCATGTGGTCACCTCCGGGGCAGGCGGGGATCGAACTCATGCGGAAGTGGCTTTAGTTTCTCAGTGCAGTGCTTTAACCCGCTGTGCCACCAGGGAGGGCCAGTGAGCATGATTTTATAACAGTGAGCCTATCTTGCTGGCTGTGTCTCTTGCAAACTCCTGCCCTATACACTTTCACTGTTCAGGCCTTCTAAAATATGGGATCCTCCCGGAAGTCTCTCTGTGCCTTTGGATATAGTTTCCCTTTCTGAATTGCTCTTTGCCCCTTTGCTTTTATACTAATATATCCCCTACCTTCAAGGCCACTATCAAGATAGATTTCTTCTGTGAAATGTACCTAACCCTCAGCTGTGCTTCTGCAGTCTCTTCTGATCCATGGTGGTTTCTAATTTCACTGTTGTTGATATTTTTCCTCATCCCATTGGACCTGAGCTCCTTGTGGGGCAAGGATCCAGTTCTCTTTCACCATTTGGTAGGACTGATGTTTTGTTAGCTTCTGAGTCCTTATAGAATGACCACGACTTGTGATGTGCCATCTGCATCCATTGCAGTCTGTCCTCAGCCCTCTTCATTTTGGCTTCATTCCCTGCTACCCACCGGATACTCCAAGCAATAACCCTTTCAGCACCTTGTGGTTTTCTGAGCACAGTCCCAGTTGCACTGGCCATACATGCTCTGTTTGTAGGTGTCTGTTTTGTGATCTGCTGGCTTGGGAAGGTGGGCTTTCTTCAGGATAGCTAGTCCTTTTTCTCCATTTTTTAAAATAGAGATAGTAGTTCAGGCTTATACTAAGTCAACAGAGAGAAATATGGCACCCTGTCCCGTGTGTGTGTCCAGTATGTGGACCTTCCAAAAGAATGAGTTTAACATACCTATCATGGGAGAAAGGGAGCACACACGCACTCGATTCCCTTTTCTTCCTCCCTGACCCCAGTTCTTTCCCTTCTCTCTCAGCCAGTGATGACTACTATTCTAAATGTAGTGTTTACATATGTTTCCATATGTTTTAGTATCACACATATTTTGTCTGTAGAAAATACGGTGTTTGGCCTTTTAAAAAATACTATGTAAGTTAACACCATTATGTTCACCTTCAGCAGGGTCCCCGCTTATAAGAACACACTGTTTTTGAGGTTTATTCATATTGTTATAAGTAAGTGCGTAACTTTAAAGTGTAGGTAACTTTAAACTGCTACAGAGGTTTTGAGGTTTTTATGAAGCTTCGTTGGACTATTCCATTTCAAGAAAATCTCTCTTATAGATATATGTTTAGCATTTAGTTATTTCACATTTATTCAGTAGTTATTTTACTTAACTACTTTTTCTTCCTACTGTATTTGAATATCATTGCCTCTGTTACATTTGCTTCTATAAATCTAGCATTATAATAAGTTTAAGGAATTTTCTTCATGATATTAGTTAAAACTTAATCTAGAAAGAAAACTAGCCCTGTCTTTTCTGAAAATTCCATGTAAACTATCTGATGTAATCAGGATTTTCCTATATTGATACGTAAATCAATATTCTATTTAGAAGGGTATTACTAAGAAATTGTGACATAGCACTAAGTATTTTTGTAACTAAAAAATACTACAGATAATACCTCAAATTTATTTGGGAAAGTTTACATGGTCAGAATTGCTTTTCACTTTAAAGTTGCCATCTAGCCCAAAGAGGAATTCTTTGTACATTAGATATAGTAGATTTAATATTAGGGTCAGGGTCTCCCTGGTGGTGCAGGGGTTAATGTCTCAGTGCTGTCAAGCTGTTGGCAGCCACTGCAGCATGAGTTCCACCCCCAGCCAGGGAGCTGATCCACAAGGTGCAGCAGACCTCTCCTGTCTTCCCGCTGCTCCCCTTAGCAGTGTATTTCAGTTAATCTGCCGTTTCACACCCCACTTGGTTTCTGGTGAATACTCATATCCCCCTGCACCTCTGGCCTACACCGCAGTTCTTGTAGGCATAAGTAAATAAAAATCTTTAAAAAAAAAAAAAGATTAATAATATTAGGATCATATAATTATGTATATTTGAAACTCTGTTATTAGGCATAGACACATTTAAGGTTAGTGTGTTGGCCTTTCATCATGATAAAATCTCTATCTTAATAGTGTTGTTCTTAAGCCAACTCTGTCTGATACTAGTCTAACCACCCCAGCTTTCTTATGACTGGTGTTTGCATATCGTTTTTGCTCACTTTACTGCTAATGTAACTGTCTTTAAATTTACAAATGTGAATCCTGTGAATTGCATGTGACAAGCTGCCACTTAACTGGAGTGTTTATTCCATTTACATTTAGTAAATTAGTTTTATTCTCTGAGAGTTGTTTATTTAGGTCTGTTAGGGCATATTTCGGAAAAAAGTAGCCTTTGCTCCGGTTTAAAATAGCCCTGCTCCTAAATCCTGGCCTGCCTGAGAATTCACCCGGGTATCCACGTTCAGAGAGTTTTATCCCTTCTGACTAGTGGGACTACAGTGTCCTCATCCGTCCTCATCCTTATGTGACTCAAATCTGTTTCGTTTGCTGCTCCTGGGTAAATCACTGCCACACCTCATGAAGTGCTTTTCTGAACAATATAATTTAGTATTTAACCAAACAATGAAGAAGATCCCTGAGCAGATTTCTAGAACCCACTCTTGCATATCTCTCTAGTCTAATAATCGGCTCTGCAAATTCCAGCTGCCACAGCAGCCTCAAATTCGTGTCCCTGTCATCTCAGCTCAGCACAAAACTGCTATGTGCTGTCAGGTCCCCGCCCATGCGAGCCAGTCCCAATTATTCCTGTCGCAGCAGCTCACCAGTATAGGACTCGTGTGGGCTCTCTTCTTCGAGGGATAATTCTGCATTTGAGCTGTTGTACCTCTGAAAGCAGTTTCTTCAGCTACTTGTCCAGCTTTTAAGTTGTTTATAACAAAAGAATTATTCAATATCAGTTACACTCGATGGAAAGCAGAAACTTTGTAGTACTTTTAGTCATTCTCTTTGAGAAATAAGAATCTAAAGCTATAATTCAGAGACCGTGTATTATACTAGAGAAGTAATCTAATTGTACTCACTTCATTTGAAAGATAAGAAAGTTGAGATAGGAGCACAAGTGACTTGTAATAAATTATATTGTGAGTTACTCATAAGTCAGCTAAACCCAGATTTTCTAAATCTAGATCTCTGTCCACTATTCTTTCCCCATAGTGTCTTATTAAAATTTCTCTTCTCTTTGAAATGGAATTTTAAACTATCAGATTTTGAAATTTTTTTTTGCATTAAACATTCACCTAACTTCATTTTTTTGCTGCATTAGTTAATCCTGCTATTAACACAAGCAGGATAAACAGTCACAAGTATATTTTAGAATACTTGGCATTTTGTAAAACTATATAAGTCCTAGATAAGGAGACACTTAATTCTTTTTAATGTAATTGGGATTTTTGGTTTCTTTTTTCAGTTTGTTTTCCTTGCTGTCTAAGAAACACAACAAAGTTCTGGAACAAGCCACACAGTCCTTGAGAGGTTCTCTGAGTTCCAACGATGTTCCTCTACCCGATTATGTAAGTAGTTACCTTTGTCAATATAAATATTTTTCTATTCATTGCTAAATTTATAAATAAAAATATCCTTCTCTTAAGATCTGACTGACCCGATGCCTGAGAAACTACTAAAATACAAATAATGGCAGTAAAGTTCAAATCAGGGGAAGAAAATTTAAATATTAACAACTGGTTGAAGAAAGTCACCCCTAAAAACAGTGATTGTGAATGACTAGGAATCTTATTACTTTAGTCAAGAAACGAATTAGGCAAATATGATAAAGTCAGACAAAAACAAAAGGAGGAATGTTTAGAGGAGGTGTGCAAAGGTTTCTCAGGGAACTCAAGAGCAAGAAGTACACCTGGATTTCAGAGTTGAGAGCCTGGAAGTGAAACCGAATTAAAAAGGGTCCTGTCTTTCTGGGCCCAGTTTAGACTGCTACTTTTTGCTTTAATTTTGTTCTTCTGCTGCTTTCCCTCACCAGAGTACTTTCTCTACTGGCTGGCTGAAATAGTCACAAAAAGCCTTCCTCTCTCTCTCTCTCTCTCTCTCTCTCTCTCTCTCTCTCTCTCTCTCTCTCTCCCAATCAAGGGCCTTGGGCCTGCAGTGCCTTTGGCCATCCCAGCAGTCTTGATATTCTTGCTCTTAGGTCCTGGGAAGGAGGACCCCACTGGCTCTGTGTAGGGCAGGAGCTACTCTCGCCTTGTCAGCCATGGTCAGCAGAGAGCCGCCCATCCGGTCATCTGTTTCCTTTGTTCCATCCACAGGAGCGATGAAGAGCTTCTTACCACCTTAGCTCAGAAAATAATGATGGGCTAGAGCAGAAGCAGCACAGGGATGAGCATTATATAGCAACGGGCAGGAGAACATCTGACGGGCAGTGCCACTAGCTGACCTTTCTTATATTTTGGAACATGACTTAGGTGAAGATGATAAAAATTACCTTGTCATAAGCCACAGAAATAGTCCATCTGTTCTACTAAGGAACTCCCTAACTCTCTAGACAACAGCTTAGTGGGTTGAGATTTAGAAACTGCATGAGACATCCTAAAATTTGAAGTTTGTATTAAGGATGCATACTGGACAACAAGACAGTCGTTTAGCTTGTTTCCTATGGTTGGTTTCATTTAAATAGTTATGCCGATAGGATAACTGTGGGGCGGCACCAGCCTAGACACCAGAGGCGCTGACAGAAGAGATGACTGCGTGGCACACTTCTACCCTTGAGACCACTGTTAGGAAACAAAAAGCTATGTCTTTCTGGTTGCTCCTTGCAAACTTCTTCTGGGCCTGTATGATACTAGGGATTATATTTATTAATAACTTGATAGCAGTCCATCTGTAAATATCTTGTCATTCTTTTACAGTTATTTGATTTCTAAAGTAATTTTGTGTCCATTATTTCACAAAAATGTGTTAAATGTCTATAGCAGTGAGGTTGTCCTAAAAATTCTCCTTTAATGAGTGACCAGAAGGTTGGTGTTTCTTTTGAGAAAATATGTATCTAGAAATACATATTTAATTGTATTTGCCAGCTCTGAAGGTGACAATAGTGAAAGGGCAGGTTGAATTTGTAACAGACATGAATTCTACTGTTGAATTTTTTAGTTTTTAGTGTCTTCTTACGTGAAAATTTTACAGAGTAAAAATGAATTTTCTAAAGCATCTGTTTTCTAAAAGTAGTGGGAAAATTCCATTTGGAATCTGTCGTTGACAGTCATTACTTTAACACTGAGACTACAAATCACAGCATTTTTCAAATGGGTTCATGAACTTGAACATCGCTGCCTTTCCTAGGGGTTAATTGAAGAGGGTGGATAACTCTGATTCAGTAGTAGTGATGATAACTATGAGTCACTCCTGCTACTGATGTGAAAGGTGATTAGCAACTTTAAAAGTTCAGTGCGGTAGTAAGTCCTTTTGTGATAACTTAATGTTCCCTTGGTCATTTCCGTTGCTCAAAACTCTGTGTATTAGCCGTTTACATATTTGAAACCTTGTTCTCATTGTCATTCTCTTTTAAATTGGTCATTAACTGGAAAAATAAAATATGTTCTGCCCTAGAAATTTTACTTAAGCTATTTTGCCAACAACCACATAAAGTTCTGTGTCTTAGTGTACTGCTGTAGACCACGTTTGTGTAAATGATGGAGAAGGAAAATCAAAGGGTCTCAATGCAGCAGTAGATTCCCTGATGTGTATTTTCTAGCAAAGAGTTTGAAGTAAGTGCTTAAAAATAAGGATATGTTTTTCTTCTCACTGTAGTACATAGAGCACTTTCAGTCTACCTAGAGGTTTCGGAGTTTATTAAGAAAATGTTTGCTCTCATTATACTGTAAAATTCACAAGTCAATTGAGTGACAACATAGAAAGCAAATAGCATGTTACAAAAACATTGTTATTAGTATTTCACTACATGTGTGTTTGTCTGAACATCTCAGGGGAAGACTGAGACCTTCAACCAAGTTCTAGATAATGAGGAAGTGCCCTGACTGCTTAAGAGGAAATAAAACAAAAATGGCACTCAAGTCCTCTGTGGGAACAGAATGCCCACTACCGAGAGTGAGAGGTGGCACTGCAGGTTTTACAGAGGCAATAAAAGTGCCTAATTTTGCTGTATTTTGCATGTCTATATCAGGGTTTTATGAAATTTAATATATTGTGTAAAAGGAAACGAGAGAGATGTGATAGAAGACTCTCACCAACTTTTAAAAATAAGAATAATTACCTTTCAAACTACTTTGGCAATATACAGTAGAACCTGACTATTGAAAGTGAAACATAATAAATATGTCATAGTTGCTTTTTAAACTGTAATTGTGATTTTTTAAATTATCAATATTACCACAGTGTCATCTAAACTTTTCCTCACTCTAATAGTCTATCTTAGCAACTATTTGAGATGCAAAGAACCTGACTTATTCTAGGTCAAACCGTAAAGAACCAAATGATATTGCCATTTGATTATTGAAGAACTTTGAAATTTCATATAGATAATAAGTGTATAATGTTATAAATACACACATATAATGTTATATAAATAAGCTTACTATATATAATTTAATACACATTTATTTATCTCAGTGATTCTCAAAGTCTTGGGTTTTCTTTAATTCTCTTATGACTGTACAGCCAAGTTGTTAAAGGCTACATGATGAATGATAATGTCACTTCCCCACTTGCTAACACTGTGTGTACTCGTATAACCTTATGTTAAAAAAAAATTGTTTAGTTAAAGTACCGGTATATTTAATCCACATAAAAATAGCTCTTGAGGCCCTCCCTGGCGCAGCGGATTAAAGCACTGCACTGGGAAGCCAAAGCCACTTTAGCATGAGTTCGATTCCCGCCTGCCCCGGAGGAGACCACATGGCGTGGCAGACCTCTCCTGGCCCGCCCGCTGCTCCCCTCAGCAGTGTACTTCGTCGATCTGCCTGTTCTGTTCCCCACTCTTGTCTCTGGTGAAGCCTCTCACCGCCCCTGAGCCTCTGGCCTGTACCCCAGTTCTGTATGCACAAATAAATAAATCTTTAAAAAAAAAAAAAAAGCTCTTGAGAGCATCAGTCGTTTTCAAAAGTATAAAGAGGTCTTCAAAAGTATGAAAATGTTTAAGAAGAGCATCCCTAGTGGTCTAGGGGTTAAGTCTCAGCACTATCAAGCTAGTGTCAGCTACTCTGGCATGAGTTTGATACCCGGCCAGGCTGCTAATCCACCTGGCACAGCAGACCTCTCCTTTCTCACCTGTGGCTCCCTCAGTAGTGAATTATTTCAGTAGCCTGTTCTGCTCCTCAATTCTGTCTCTGGTTTGTCCTCCACCCTCCCCCCCCCCTACCATCACCACCAATACCTCTGGCCTATACCCTACTTCCTGTATGCATAGATGGATGGATGGATGGATGATGGATGGATGGATGGATGGATAGATTTTAAATGCTTAAGAACCAGTGGTATTTATAATTACATCCCCACACATTAAAAAAAAAAACACCAATTATTTGCTCTGATATTCTGTGATTCATTCTTCTTTGTCACAGTTTGGCACTGAATATATTTTGACATATGAGTGTACTGAAAATAAATGGACTGAATTTTTACCAGTTAGATGACAGGATGAGACCCAACTCAGCACACCTGGCAGGTATCCTGGGCTGAAAAGAATTTTAGACCTAAGTCATCTGTGCGACTTACAATTTGAATTGTTTGACTATTTTCTTAGTCAAAATAAGATTCTCACATGTAGTGGGCATGGGTACTTTTCAAGATGAATTATTAACTTTTCATTAATGTTTGCATCATCTTTATAACAGAGTTGATTCTTTCAGGCTCACATGGTAGTTGCAGCATTTTTTTTCCCCCCTTTTAGTTCATTACAAATAGAATAGGTTGTTCAATCTCTACTTGATCTAATTGTTTGCTGTCTTAAATTGTAACTTCCTAAGGAACAAAAGCCAGTTATTTGAAATTTACTTCAGTCTTGTGATTGATTATCATTACCATTCTGTATGTAATGCTAAAATACTACTACCTTGAAATAGTTTATTTAACTCACTCTTAAACAAATGACTCTTATTAATAAGCTTTTAACTCTTGTTTGTAAGTTTTATGTCTGCTTTGAACCATTTAGTTTCTTAATAAATATTTTATGGGTTATCCTGACCTGATTCACATGACAAAGTTTAAATTCAGGGATTTTTCAAAAAATTTTTAAGATTCTTTGTATTTACTCTTTAATTCAAACTTCAGATTCATTTAACTCATAGTTGTTAGATAGGTAATATTGAAAACTATTTTAGTTTTTTGTATTATATAATGCATATGCTTTTGCTGAGCTAGTGTTAAAATCCCTATTTCTACATAACACACACACACATACACACACTCATGCATGCATGCACCTGTGTATACACAAAAACACAGAAATAAATACAACTCTTCACATTTTATAGAGCTTGTTTTTAGTGACACTGTTATTTAAAGATTTTTCTTTAGTACTTAAAGGAAGGCTTAGAGAACTTAACAT